TTTTTTTTCTCTCGAAATTTCATTGTTTATTTATTTTTCTCTCCCCCTCCCCCTCCATCGTTGCTATTATTTTTTCTTGATTAGGTCACCAATAACCTACCCTAACCACTCAAACTCCGGTTAGGGTTTTCGTAGGGTTTTCTAGGGTTTAGGGTTTTCCTAACCCCCTTACTTTCCCTCCCCATTCGGGCACCCTGGACTCGAACCACCCCTCCCCCTTTGACAGCGTCCGCGCTCGACTTGCTAGTGCCGCCCGTCACTTTCTACCGCTAACCCCCCCCAACACCCTCCGCTCACGCGGACCTCCTCCGGCCCCCTCCCATCCGGCCCATCACCTCCCCATGGCTGACGCCGTATCACAAGTCGCTGATGCGGCGACGACCTCGACACCAGGCTCCACACCCGTGTCGGCGGACCAGGGCCATGAGCCCCAGGGGGATCAGGACACCCTCCTCACCTCTCTCCTCGCGCTCACCCAGGCGCAACAGGCGACCCTTGCGTCTCTACAGGTGCAGGTGGCGACTCTTGCTGCTAGCATATGGTAACTCCAGGACGCTGCCTGTCCTTCCTCTCCTAACTCTCTCGCTTCTCCTAGCTCCTCGTCCGGGTCTCCAGTCCTCCGACGTGGTGGCCACGGTGGAGCTTCCTCCTCCGCTGCCCCCGACCTGGCCATCCTGGTGGCCGTCCACGCCCCTAGCACGACGGCCGCCATGGGTCAGGCCTTCCCTCACTCTACGGGCGCACCCGCCCGAATTCCGGTCACTACGGCCACGGGACCACAACCCTCTGCGGTGGTCTCCGCTTTTCCGGGTGCCGCGCTTCTCCCTCCCCTTCACACGACCACCGCGCCACCTGGCTCTCCCCCTTATGGGATGCCCTGCGCCGCTCGTGCGTCTACTTCCCCCACTTCTCCTCCTCCTACTCCTCGCTCGACCTATGCCCACCGTCTTGAGACCGAGCTTGCCCAGATCCGGGCCGACCTCGCCCAATTACGCCTTCAACCACCCATACCATCACAAGTGGTCACGCCTTCGGACGCACCGTCTTCTTCCTCTACTCTTCCATCCATACAGGCTCACTTCCCCCGCCTTGCACACCCTCCACCCCCATTCTACCTCCTTCCTACTCCCTCGGTTGTTGCGACCTCTTCTACCACAACTCCCTCGCAGCCTGTCGTTGTTGCCCCCTCCGCTCCCCTATACGGTCCGGGCGTACAGTCAGTTGCGCCCCCTTCTCCAGGACCTGCGCTGACTTACTCAGCCGTAGCGCAGGTCTCTGCTCCTCGATCTTCTCTCCGCCAAAATGGTGGCGCACCACTCGTCCACTTGACGGACATTGCCTTGTATGATGGTACAGGGATACGTGTGTCTCAATGGCTGCAGTCTGCCACCCGCACGCTCCAGCTCATGGGCGTCCCACCCGACACGTGGGTGGCACATCTCTCCACGCGCCTGCGTGGCGGTCCTTTCGACGCTTGGGGGGATTTCTACACTCACTCCCTTCGTGAGGATCGGACCCCGACCTTCATGGATTTTCAGGTGTTCCTCGAGGATCGCTTCGGAGCCTGATATGACGTGACTAACGCCTTCGAGCATGTCGTCAGTACACACTGGTCCGGCTCTGGTGGCGCTGCCAGCCTGGACCGCCACATCCTGTTCTTTCAGGATGCCCGCCTCATTTGTGATGTGGCGTTCCTCCCCGAGGTTGCCCTCATCGATCATTTCTTGGCCAGCCTTCCCCTTGAGTACCGCTCCGAGTTATGGTCGTATGACTTCACATCGGCCCCGCAGGCTTACGAGGCCGCCAGTGCCCATCAGCGAATGTGGGCCCATCTTCAACTCACTTCCTCCTCCCTGCCTCAACGTACTGGTTATGCTCCTTCCTCCTCTCACGACACTTCCCAACATCGTTCCCCTTTCCACAGCCGTCCCCGCCGTTCCGCCCAGAAGGGCCATCACTTCTCGCGCCGCTTCAGCGCTCTTGAGTATGGTGAGCAGGACGTTGTTGCCCCGTTGTCGCCTGAGGGTGACCATAGCGACGACCTTGACCTCTGCGAGGCCGTTTACTACCACCTGGAGGACTCTACCCTCCCGACAGTCGAGCGCCTCTAGCTCGCTCTCTCCACCCTCTCCCGGGCACCCATCCGCTTTGGTCATGCTGACGTGTCGCCCCCCGAGGTCCCTCAACAGGTTCTCCCTCAGGGCTTTGTCCCTCCTCACGGTGTCCTTTCTGCTGAGCAGCGCGAGGACATTTTGGGCTGGCGTGCGTGTTTGTGCTGCCGCCAGGACGGTCATACCTCCTTGAGGTGCCCTTACACCACCGCCCTCGACCCCCACTACGCTAAGCTCTCTCGCCAGCATCGTGCTCGGTCCCCTCCAGCGCCTCCTAGCCACAGTGCAGTGTACATCTGCACCCTCCTCATTAGTCGGTTTTTCGACATCCCCATCGCGGTTTGCCCCTCTTGCTATTGGAGTTGAGGTATCGCAGGACCTGACAGAGTGTACTCAACCCTGTGTCGCAGTACCATTTGCGTCTGCGCAGACCACCGTCTCCCCTCCTACCTCTCCGTGACTACCGATGCGTCGAGCCACTTGCTTAGCCCGTTGCAGCGAGCAGCTTAGAACTCGCCAGGACATTGTGTCCTCCCTTCTGGACTTGAGCATGTTCAAGGCTCGTCAGGAGCAACTCACCCTCCATGTCCCTGCACTCGGTCGCCTTCTCGCCATCCTCTCTGACCCTGATCGCACCCTCCCGATCATTCCAGTACGACTGGGGAACTCCACAAGGGTGTACTCTGCGCTGTGGGATTCCGGTTCTCAAGGCGACTTCATTCACCCACGTGTGGTGAAAGAAGCCCGCTTACCCACGACAGGGTCTTCGACTCCCATCTCTGTCACCCTAGGGGATGACAAGATCCAGCGCTCCTTCGATCAGACAGTCATCGACCTCCCTTTCTTCCTCACTCTGGAGCCACTTGATCATCCCCCAGAGTCTCATTGTCACTGCTCCTGTGCACATTTCGATGTGATGGAGACGGGGTACGACTTCATTCTCGGTACTCCATGGTCTCGTAGGTTTCGTAGCACCGAGGCCGATTGGGCGAATGAAGTGTGGACAAACATATCGCATACCTTTCATAGGTACCACTGTGACACCACGACCCAATCCTCCTCTCCCAGAGCCTTCCACGCCCACACCATCTCTTATTATCACCGTCACCTCGCCTCGGCAATTCGCCCACTTCATCCGACAGGACGACAATATCTTCTTTACAATGAACGTTACGGATCTCTTGCACTATGATTCACCCTGTCAAGACGCCGAGCTCATCTCTCTGGAGCCAGATCCTCCTTCTATCTCCATGGCTTTCATCTCTACTTCCCGCCCTCCATCGTCTGTCGAGTCCACGTCTCCGTTGCGCGCTGATGCTGACGCTGAGGAACTCGCACGCTATACGGCCGACCTGGAGCCCGAAGTTCGTGACCTCATTCGAGAGTACCACGGCGTTTTCCCATCAGCGTTCTCGTACGTCGGCATCCCACCGATGCGTGACGTCGAACACTCCATCCAACTTGTGCCTGACTATCGTGTTCACCACCAGACACCCTACAGACTTTCGATCCCCGAGGCCACTGAACTCAAGCGTCAGCTTGAGGAGCTCCTGAGACTGGATTTCATTAAACCCAGCAACTCCCCGTAGGGTGCACCTGTCCTCTTTGCTCGCAAAGTGGATAAAACTCTCCGTCTCTGCATCGACTATCGCGGGCTCAACCGCTACACAGTTAAACCACTAGTACCTTTCCTGCATGGGAAAATAGGAAAAACTGGCTATCCTGAAAATTCGGAGGCCAGGCCCGACAACAAACGAAACGACTGCCATTGATCAATCTGATCGGCGGCTGTCGTTTCGTTTGTCGTCGGGCCCGGCCTCCGAATTTTCAGGATAGCCAGTTTTCCCTATTTTCCCACACGGGAAAGGTACTAGTGGTTTAAGAACAACTACCTCATGCCTCGTTCCGACGAGCTATTTGACCACCTAGCAGGCAACCGCTTTTTTACAAAGATTGATCTTCGTAGCGGTTACCATACGATCCACGTCGCTGCAGCGGACCAGCCGAAGATAATGTTCCGATCGTGGTTCGGCCACTATGAGTTTACGGTGATACCATTCGGCCTCAGTGCCGCCTCACCAACGCACCCGCTACCTTTTAGAGGGCGATGAACGACATCTTCAGGGACATCCTGGAGAAGTACGTTCTCGTCTACCTCGACGATATCCTGATCTATAGTCGTACCGTTGTGGAGCATCTCAGACACCTCCGTGACGTCCTTAACCGCTTGCACAGACATGGCTTCTATGCCAAGTTGAGCAAGTGGCGCTTTGCCCAGCACACAGTGAATTTCTTAGGACACTGCGTGTCTGATTAGGGTCTCCACATAGACGACGCGAAGATCACTGATATTGCAGAGTGGCCCGTCCCCACAGCCGCCAAGCAGCTTTTCAGCTTCCTATGCCTCACTAGCTACTACAGTAATTTCATCCAGGGATAAGCTAGGTATTCCTACGTCCTTACCTCCACCCTCCTCAGGAAGAACCCGCCATGGTCTTGGACACCCCTCCACGAAGACGCTTTCCGTGCCCTCAAGAAGGCGGTGACATGTGCATCGGTTTTCCACCTAATCGATTTTGATCGTCCTTTTATCCTTACCACCGATGCGTCAAACTTTGCTGTTTTCCTCTGAGACCCTTGATTCCCCTCATCCTCGCATCCCTCACTTCCCACCCCCTACCCCTACCACTACTTCCCGCCGCCTACTGGTCCAGCTACTGACGAACCTTCTCTCGACTATTCTCCTACCATCGCCGAGGACGGCCCTGTCAAGTCTCGCTCAGGTGATTGTCTGATAGCCTTCTACTCCAGTTAGCCTATGTATCACCCGCGGTCGCGACCGCGGGCTATTTTACCGCCCGCGGTTGGGATCCCGCCCGTGGGAACCGACCACCCGCGACCGAGTGCGGGCATGAAACCCCGATAAATTTTTCGGGCCTAAAAACAGGCGAAATATATATATATATATATATATAATATATATATATATATATATATATATACAGGGTTACCAGCCCGTACGTACGGAGGTCCCCGGGCAGACTTCCGTACGTACGGGCGTTCGGGGTCTCGTACGGGGTCCAAACCCGACGGCGTTCGGCCCCCGCCAAAAATTATTTCGGGGCCTAAAAATAATAATTTTTTTGCAATGTTTTTTTGTGAGCTCTCTATGACGTGAGTTACATGCCTGTAAATTTTCAAGTCATATGGCTAAGCCAAATAAGAATTAAAAATCGCCAAAGATGGCGGTGTCAAAATGTGCTCGCCCACATATTTTTTCACTTTTTACTTTTTGTTTTCACTTTAGTTCGGGGTGTAAACAATTTTATTATTTTTTGAAACTTTTTTAGTGGATTTTGTATTATGTGAAGTACACATCTGAAAATTTTCAGGGCATTTAGCTATGCCCAAAAAAAAAGAAAAATCTCCAAAGATGGCGGTGTCGAAAACATGCTCGCGCACTCACTAAATTTAATTCTCTTTTTATTTTTATTATTAGTATTTTTTTTCCGTATTTTATTTTTATTTCAAATTTGGTAAGTAATTCGGATATACTGCTCAGGAAAATCTTGTTTAGTTTATTTTTCTCCATAACATATATTTTTTTCAGATTTTGTTGATGAACTTTTTTTTTTTTTTGGTTCGCGTTCGGCCTGAATGGCCTAACGCATCCCCAAGGGGTCCCATACGTTCGGGCGTTCGGCCCGTCCCGAACGCCAGTTACCCTGTATATATATATATATACAGGGTCACCAGCCCGTACGTACGGAGCTCCCCAGGCCGACCTCCGTACGTACGGGCGTTCGGGGTCCCGTACGGGGTCCGAATGCGACGGCATTCGGCCCCCACCAAAAAATATTTCGGGACCTAAAAATAAGTTTTGTTTTCTGAATTTTTTTTGTGGAGTTTTCTATGATGTGATGTACATGCCCATAAATTCTGAACTCATTTGGCTAATCCAGGCAAAAACTAAAAATCTCCAAAGATGGCGGTGTCAAAATGTACTCGCCCACTCAATATTATATTTTTTTTAACTTTTGCCTTTTTGTTTTCACTTTATTGCGGGGCCTAAACAATTTTATTAGTTTTTGAAACTTTTTTGAAGCGTTTTGTATTATGTGAAGTACACATCTGTAAAATTTCAGGGCATTTGTATATGCCAAAGAAAAATGAAAAATCGCTAAAGATGGCGGTGTCGAAAACATGCTCGCTCACTCACTAATTTTATTTCTCTTTTTATTTTATCTTATTTTTATTATTAGTTCCATTTTTTATATTTTATTTTTATTTCAAAATTGGTAAGGAATTTGGATGTTATGCTCGGGCAAAGGTTGTTTATTTTATTTTTCTCCATAACATATCTTTTGTTCAGATTTTTTTGAACTGTTTTGTTTTTTGTTGTTTTTTTGTTTTTTGGGTCCACGTCAGGCCCGAACGGTCGAATGCATCCCCAAGGGGTTTCGTACGTTCGGGCGTTCGGCCCGTCCCGAACGCCGGTTACCCTGTATATATATATATATAAATATATATATATCAAAAAATCTCTACACGCCTATGATTTTTATTAATTTTTTGTGATATCCACTGGAAGGGAAGAAAATAAAAAACAAAAATGGAAATAAAAAATAATTAAATAAATAAATAAAACCGATAATGAATTTTTTTTTTCCTTATTTTTAGTTTGTTGGGCCAGTGGAAAAACAGCGCC